TCACAGGAGTTTAGTTGAATTCTCATGTGTATAATCCAATTTAATGCTTTAGATCAGATCTAACACTATGCTTTCCTCTTATCCTTTGTTTCAGGAAAGGTGCCCCTACAACTCCTTTGGTCACCATTGCAATAACCAAGATAATAGCTAGTGTGTTCGAAAAGAATAATTTGCCGGGAGCAATTTTCACCTCCCTTTGCGGTGGGGCTGAGATTGGTGAAGCAATTTCAAAAGATACACGCATCCCACTTGTTTCATTTACAGGAAGTTCTAAGGTAGGTTTTCTTGTATCACTATATTTAAGTTATTCCTTTCATTCAGATATCATTGTCACATAGACACATAGACTAGTTAGGATGTTAAGAAATTAAGTAACTTTTCCTGAAATAGAACTAGATTATATTTGGGATTTCCAGTGAAGTATTGGAGGGCGGATGGAAAAGAAAGGAAGACAACTATATTATAAGACATATAGGATACACCTCTTCTGTTATTTTCAACTTTGCACTACTTGGAGTTTCATGCTTACTAATGCATAACTTTGACCATGAATATCAATAATTATTTTCTAGTGAAAAAAAAAGAAAAAAAAGAAAATTTGATTTTTTAAAAGTATATATTGGAGGAATTTAACAAGATTCCACGCAACTACATAATCCCTTATGTTGCAAAGTATTCTTAAAAAAATATCTATAGTTATCTTCTAGTGAAAAATAAAAAATTTGATCAAAAAAGAGCGTGAATGATGTGAAAGTCCAGATGTTGCAAGCATTAAAAAATAGAGGAAGTATATATTAGTAAACTCATAGTTAACCTGAACTAATAGAGGGTGGGACAACGTAACATTTAATTTCAGAGGGAGGGGGGTAATTTTTCGATATTACTAAGTTTACCCTCTTGTGGTATTTGTTGTTCAGTGTTTCTTTCATGACTTCAACTTAAGTATCTAGGAACTGGGTTGGCTACACATACACATTGATGCAGAAAACAGTTAAAATGTCTTAATGGCCTTTTGACTTTTTTTAAACTCTGCTTATAGTCTTGAACTTAGTTTGTTGACATAACTTTCAATCAATATTGCTAAATTTGGTTAATGAATTGGCTCATAGGCTGTAAAAGTTGGGCTCCAAAGAGTGAACTTGATCATTTTAATGTCAAACACAAACTCACTAGCATTACCCTTGCATGTTAACCATAGGCAAAATTCCACCTTTGGTATTAAGTAAATAAGAGTTAAATATTTTGGTGCACTTGAAGTTTATAAATTTGTTTCACATCGCCAAAGGTCCTTCACAGTTTCTTTTGAAATGTTGATTGGCTATTAACCCAGTCTTTCCTGAAAATTTTATATAAATCTGTATATTAATCCTCAGGGAAATTTTGTTGCTTCAAAGCTTCTACACTTTAAGTTTTCCAAAGGGGTCTATTATGATGGGTTCTTTATGTACCCTATAAATCAAGCTTTTAATTTTACTTCTGCTGCATACTGATGACAGGTTGGTCTGATGGTTCAACAAACTGTGAATCAAAGATTTGGAAAATGCTTGCTTGAATTGAGTGGAAATAATGCCATAATTGTCATGGATGATGCTGATATTAAGCTGGCTGTTCGTTCTATCCTCTTTGCGGCTGTTGGTACGGCTGGTCAACGTTGTACAACCTGCCGTAGACTGGTAATCACATAACTGTTTTCTGAATAACAGATTTTAAGTCAAAAGAGTAGTAAGAGACACTCATTCAAGTTCTACCTTTTTTTTTCCTATTTGCTTAGCTGCTTCATGAAGGCATTTATGAGAAGGTACTTGAGCAATTGCTTGTTGTCTACAAACAAGTGAAGATTGGGGATCCTCTTGAGGATGGTACCTTACTTGGACCATTGCATACTAAAACTTCAAGAGACAACTTTGTGAAGGGAATTGAGGCTATAAAGTCCCAGGTTTGAACTCTTCTAAGTTCTAACCTTATTTGACTTAACTTTTTTCAAAACTTTGACGATTTGACCCCAAGGCCCCAACAAGCTTTGCCAATCACCTTTCAATTTGCATTGAAGATTTTTAACAGAAACAGATGATATACCCAATATTGCTTAGTTAGTGTCTGTTCTAGGCTGCAAATGTTGGTATGTTGTTTGCATTATGACAAGAATAGTGGGTCGTTTCGCATGATAGTCATTGATATCTTTTCTGTAGTCCAGATTTAGGTCACTTACACTTATGGCTTTTTCATCATAGTATGATTTATCATCTTTTTTGCAGGGAGGTAAAATCCTTACAGGCGGTTCAGCCATAGAATCTGAAGGAAACTTTGTTCATCCCACAATTGTTGAAATTTCGCCTGATGCTGATATTGTAAAAGAAGAGTTGTTTGCTCCTGTACTTTATGTTATGAAATTCAAGGTGAATATTCTTGTTGTGTTCAGTAGTCTACATGTCGAATTTATCATACGTTGTTATCCTTGAAACTGTTTGTAAATTCTCAGTTATGTCAACATAAGTAATGGACCATCTGTGTATGCAGACTCTTCCAGAAGCAATAGAAATAAACAACTCTGTTCCGCAAGGTTTAAGTAGCTCTATCTTCACTCAGAGACCCGAAGCTATCTTCAAATGGATTGGGTTAGTTCAGTTCAATTACTGGTTTCTATGCAGGAGAATCTACTATAACCAGACAAAATGTTAACAAGCGCATATATATTGAAACCTGGGATCCTCGGACTTTCTCAAATTACATATTTGGTTTTGTTGCAGGCCTTTAGGAAGTGACTGTGGCATCGTGAATGTAAATATACCAACTAATGGTGCTGAAATTGGTGGTGCTTTTGGGGGTGAAAAGGCAACTGGAGGTGGTAGGGAAGCAGGAAGTGACTCTTGGAAGCAATACATGAGACGTGCAACATGGTATACAACTTATTCAACTTTACTTTTCATTGCTTTATCCTTTCTCATGAAGTGTCACTAATCTAATTTGACATCCATTGCAGCACAATTAATTATGGGAGTGAATTGCCCCTTGCACAGGGAATCAACTTTGGCTAGATCATCCATCCGAGGTAGGTAAAATCTCCTACTTACAATGACTGTTACTATAGGTGATAAGCTGATAATCACACTGTAATAATACGTTTCCTTTTTCCGAACCTGCAGGGTAATGAAGGTGCTTTACTTGTAGCATCATGCAACAAAGGGGTACGGGGGGAAATCTTTTACAAGTATATGTTATTAGTGTTGTATCTTAATGAATATTCATACAACTCTTTATGTGCAATTTTTTTTTTTTTTTTTTTTTGGTGTTTAGAGAGCCACAAGGGCGGGGGTGAGAATCGATCCCAGGACCTCCTAGAATCGGGAGGAAAGCTCTAACCACTTGAAAAAGTTGGTAATTTGATCGTTTTTACTGTCCAATCAGCTTGACTATAAAGAATACATTTTTGTGAAACGAAAATTAAAATTAGAACGGGAGATTATTACAGTATGCATTCACCAAATATGTATGTTTGCACTCTTTAACTCTTGGTTATTGGATGAGGGAAGTATCGTGCATCGTTGCTACTTCCCACAGTTGCAATGCTTATGAACTCTAAGAAAAATTTATCTCTTATGAACTTATATGCATCATAAAAAGTTGTTTAAGAATCAATTAACTGTACTAAAATGAGCTGGTATTAGGAAGAAAATGTTTACAATTTCTCAACATTTTTTTTTTTTTTTTTGAAACCATAATAATTCAAAAAGAAATATACTCTTTAAGTATTAGGTACATACTTCATAGTAACAATACTTTTAAATGGGGGTTTATAAGTTATAAACTTATGACCATTATTATATTTTCTTAAACAAATGGTCATCTTAAGTTCTAAACCACTACAAAAAGAAAAAGGAACCAAAAAAAAAAAAAAAAAACTCCCCATGAATAGTATATTGATTCAATGTAACTGAGCGGTTTATTACAATATTGCTACATCAAAAAATAAATTCCCTTTGTGCATCAGATTAGTCCATGTAGGTTCGGTGTTAGGCGTCAATTTTTTTATTTTTGATTCAGCTTAAAACTACTTAGGCCAGTAGCGGTTGTAGCTTTAAAACCGGTTTCAAAAAAGACACCGCCTTTTACTATTAACAGGTCTCCTTGCCTCCTTTCTTTCCTTAGCCAAAAGCTAAAATTGTTAAATTCAAAGAGATCTATTTCAATAATAACTGGTCTCTTTTCCTCTTTTAAAAAAATAAAAATAAAATCATGAATATTATTAGCGGTTTTAAGCTAGACCAAATACTAATTCTACATGGACAATACTTTGAGAGTTTGTTTTTAAAGTAGTGTATAATGACAATTTATTTTTGTTTCAACAATATTGATATAAATCGCTTGTGTTTTTCTTAAATATGCAATAATGGTGAGATAAATAATCCAACTGAACACAATTTCCCCTGACATAACTCATCCACCATTTTTATCAAGCCATGCCTATTTCCCATGCCCATATTGGTTAAAGCAGAACACTCCCTACATTGCACACAATACCACCAATTTCTACATGAAATGGGTTAAGGTTAACATCTTAGGTCAATGTATCAGGTTTAGGTTTGATTTTAGATCAATTTTAGATTGTGTGCTAAACCGCTAGTACTACTGTAGTTTAATATTAGATTATTAGTAAGGACGTACGGTGCAAAATATGAGAATTATGTCAAATCGAGTCAAATTTGAATTCAAATAAGGTTGAATTAGATTTCTCTGAACAATTCCAAGTTGTCCCATTGGGTAGAGATTGTCACTACTACTTTATTTGGTTTATTTAATTTTGACCGAAATTAATTTATTCGAATTTATTTCATTTTTTTTAAACTAATTTTATTTTATTAGAATTTTCGGAATTGATTTTGCTTTAACTTATTATTATTATTATTATTTTTTAATAAAAAAAAAAAAAAAAAAAAAAAAAACATTTGTACACTTATTTTATTAAGATTTAAAAAAAAAAGTTAAGAAATTTTAAATTCACAAAACTCTTAAAACAAAGTCTAGACTATTCAGTACACGCTACACGGTACACCGTCTTCTTCTTTGTTAGAGAAAATCAATCGTAAATTTTCTCTCTCATCTGAAAGTTGTTCGACAAATCAATGGATTCCGACGTAGTTATGGTTCCCGCCGGCGAGGGTTCCAGCGCCGCCGGCCCTTCTTCCAAGAAACCCAAACGTTTCGAGATCAAAAAGTGGAACGCCGTCGCTCTTTGGGCTTGGGGTAATTCTACTCTTCTTCAACCCTATTTTTCAATTTCCCCTAATTTCTCCCATATTTCCGATTGATTCATTTCAATTTTTCTTTCTTCTTTTTGCAGATATTGTTGTCGACAATTGTGCTATTTGTCGTAATCATATTATGGATCTTTGTGAGTTTAAATTTTCAATTTTTTGGGCGTTTTCGTTAGTTAGGGTTTACGTTTTTGAATCTAATTTTTTTGTTTGTCTTTTGATGATGAATTGATTTTAGGTATTGAATGCCAAGCTAATCAAGCTAGCGCTACGAGTGAGGAGTGCACTGTTGCCTGGGGTATGATTTTTTCTCTTTTTTAATTTTTGTCGCAATTTTTATGGTTTTTGTTTTTATGTGTTAGTTTATGGAATTGTAATTTGAATGTTATAGCCAATTTGTATGATTCTATTGTCAAATCTTTGAAAAATTTAATTGCAGAAAGAATTACATCTCTACTAATTGATTTTGGTTTTGTTGATTAGTTTTTTATGCTTGTTGTGATCCTTGTTTCCTTTGAACTTCGTATATTGTTGGATTATGTTTTGACTGTGTCCGATTATGGTGAATAGTGTATTCCTCTAATTCGAGCTATTCTCTTTTTCGTCCGAGTACCAATTTCTGTATTTCTTATTGTTTTGATGGTCGTATACTAGATAAGATAATGGTTGTTGGAATGTTGGATCTTACATTCTTACCTGCTGCCTTGAGTATCTTTAACCATTGACCTTGATTTGGGAGGTCATATAGTTTGTGAATCAGACAGTTGAGTGATTTTCCTGTTTGTCATTTAGGAACTTTTTTCGGAGTTGGAGACACTAAATTGTCAGTATGATGAAATGGGACTTTAGAAGTGATTACTGTTTACTTGTGTATTTAATCTAAGGGCTACACACTTAATTATGACTTATGGTGCATTTGAGATTTTTGTAAGGGATATGTCTCACCTAGTTTTGGTAGATACAAGTGAGACCTTTAAAGACGAATGAATGTTGGAAACTAGGTTGACATAGGTCATACTTTGATATTGCTAGGACAGTTATGTTGGTTCATTAAAGTAGCTGTTATGTGTCGATTCAGTACTACAATATATTTCAAAATTTTACATCAATAAGCAGATAAAAAAAAAAAAGGTTTAATGTAAATTTAAGATCAATAGGATGGTTGAAGTTGACTTCCTTTACCTTTATTCATCAGAATCTTCAAATGCTGGTTTCTTAAGTACTTAAAATCTACTTTTCTGGGTTACGTATAGATTACCGTTGAAGCGACCTTTTATTCTAAGGTAGTAGTTGCTGGTGTGGCTTAAAATGTCAATGTCTGGGAGTAGATTGTCTTCTGTTTTAGAGTTTATGAGAAAGGATCTTAAATTTTTTTATAATATCATCCAATGGTCCAAGAAGTGATAAGCCTTGTTAATTTGTTATATTGTTGGATAGTTTTCTTTTCCTTTATGTGGCCTTCTTGTGATGTGGGAAAGATAGTGAAAATAATCAAGCTACTTTTGTTAGTGGATACAATTGTCCTTCATATTCTTATGGAGCTTTAGTTGAGAACTTGTCATCGGGTGCGATCCCTAAGTCCAATTCCTCAGATTGAATTTGTAAACCATATCTTTAAACTGTAAACTTTTCACATGACCATCATTTGATTAGTTCCTGATGTCAAATATATCATGACTGTGATGACTCAATTTTATAACTTATGCGCTGTCATTGTATTCTTATGGCTCTAAGAAGATTAGAAAAAACTTGTAAATCTTCAAATTGTAAATGTTTCATGTGCCATTATTTTATTAGTTATTGATGTCAAATATATTATCTCTATCATATATCTCATGGGCTGTCATTGTATTCTTATGGCTCTAGGCAAAGGAGATAAACTTTGTAACCTATTGTTCTCTATTATTTACTGGTCACTGGTGTTTATGAATCTAATTTGCTTCTCTTATTCTTTTCATCTTTTGCACTTGGTGGCAGGTGTTTGCAACCATGCCTTCCATTTCCATTGCATCAGCCGTTGGTTAAAAACTCGTCAAGTCTGCCCATTAGGTATGTGGTGCTGTAGCCTGTTTACTTGTCTCTGTTTATTGCCTTTCTGGTCTTTTCAATCTTTGAAATGCTTAGACAGCTGAAGGTTTCTCCTTTTGTTTTCTGTGTGCAGATAATAGTGAGTGGGAGTTTCAGAAATATGGCCATTAGTTTTGGTTTTGTGGAATGTGTAGAGCGGCTTTCTTCAGCTCATTTGGGGGTGGTCAGTGGAGATTTTGTAACCAAAAAAAGAAAAAGATAAAAAACGGTTTCATCAAATTGTCTCTTTTTTTTTTTTTTTTCGCGGTTGAAGTTGTGAAGAATGTTGTAACGTTTCCCGAGTTGCCTTGAAGTCTTGAGATTACATGCTCTGGACAAGCACTTGGTCATCTGTGTAACCTTGACTCTGAAATTAGATTGTTTCTACTTATGGATAAATGATAATGATTCCAATGCTATCCTTGAAAAGTTGAAAAGCTGCTACATTTTCTTTTCCATTTGATCAATGTTACTACTTGCTCTGGCTTGGATTTAAGTTAGACAATCCCCACTAATGGTTGAAAACCATGAAGATTGGAGAAGTGTACAGCGTTACTGTTTTTTTTTTTTTTTTTTTTTTTAAATATTAATTTATATTTTAAAAAAATGTCAGTACCCAGGCCGTATGCCCGTATCTATACCTGAAAATTTTTAAACATGCCGTTTTCTATCCTTATTTCGGTCCCTGTACCTATATATGTCCCCATACATTATCTTGTATGAAGGAGTATGGAATGTTATAGGGAATGTAAGCACTAATAGATCACATTAGGTGAAATTTGTTATATACACTCAGGTGTATCGTACACCCAACTAATTCGAGGGTAGTTTTTGCTCTTCATTTGATGATTAAATGAAAAACAATCAAGAACTACTTGCATACATAAGAAGAGTAATGAACCAATATATGAAATTAGATAATGTGATTTAAATAAATCTAATCTTTGACCGATTTATTTTTTAATGTAGGGCGTGTTCGGCAAAATATAGCTGTGAAGGTAGCTGTAGCTGTGGAGGTAGCTGTTAGCTGTGTAGGTAGCTGTTAGCTATCAACAAGCTGTTAGCTGTGAAGATAAATAATTTAGATATGAGTGTTCGGTAAAGTAGTGGTTGACTAGCTGTTACATATAAAAATCAATATTTTATTTTTAAAACTATAGATTAAATTTTCAACAGCTACTTGAAAAGCTACCTCTAATTTCAAAAGCTAATAAATCTAACTTTTCACAAAAGCTACCTCCACCACTAAAAGCTACCCTAACCACTACTTTGCCAAACACTCACATTTTTTGTGGTCAAACCACTAAAAGCTACTCAAAAGCTAACGCCGAACACGCCCCTAATCCTTTGATAATTCCACAGTAATACAAGCTTTACGGGATGTTTTATTAGACCAAGCAAGTCATTTAACTTATAACATTAATGGCTTGTTGTGATTTATTGAGCTGAATTGAATTGAACTGAATTGATTGAAGATGAGATGAACCGAACTGAACTGAACTGAATTGTTTATTACGAAGTATGAGGTAAGAAAATAAGAAACTGAACTGAACTAAACAGATTGGAGCTGAACTGAACTGAAATTAAGCTGAAGAGAACAGGTCCTAAGTCACCTGCCACGTGTTGCGTTATCATTCGTCCAAAAAATATTCTCAGTTTTTTTTACAAATATTGATTCAACGAAAAAAAAAAAAAAAACATTTTCCCCTTTCTTTTTGTTCCTCCTCCCATTACCTGCCACAATTTCAAGTCAAATCCAGGCTGCCTCCTTTCCCACCCAACTTCCCTTATCCTGCCACCTTCTCTCCCCGCCCCCCCACTTCCCTTTTGGGCAACCTCCCACACCCTGCCCCTTTCTCATTCCCTCTCTGTCATCTTTCCACCACCAACCACCCATCCATCAAAGATGGCTTAAAGATCGGATTATTCAAATCAAATTTGGAAGGATGGTGGGTGAGTGGGTGGTCGATGGTAGAAAGATGATATCTAAATTCATTACTCAGACACCAAGTATTAGTTCTAAGTTCTACTTCAAAACACGAAGTCACTAAAAAAAATCTTTAAAAATCTTGAATTTTAAAACACATCAAACAGAGGGAAAAAATCGTAAATCCTAACATCTTATGCGGCTTGTTTCTTCAACTTAACAAGCTCATGCCCTAAATAAGTAACTTTCTGCAGAAATCAAAACAGGAAAGATGAATCTACACCATGATAGAGTATGAAAAAAAAGGTAAAACGGAGGATATGTCATTTTAAGAATGGCAATTGTTGTCTTCAAATACGAACAACAAAAAAGGAAGTTTTAAACTAACACTTTTAATATAGAGTTCAATCCAACATGTAGTTAAACAAGACAACAAGAGCACAAGCATGCTAATTATTTGAGTTAAGCACACAATCAGGTACTCAATTCTTTAAAATTTCACCTTTTAGGTACTCAATTATTTTTACTTTGCTTTTGGGTAGGGCTGGCAAAAGGTGACCCGACCCGACAACCCGACCCGAACCCAACCCGAAATAAATGGGTTTTGATAGAGATTTTCAACCCGTTTATGTAATTGGGTCAACCCGAACCCGACCTGAAGTTAAATGGGTCGGGTTCAGGTTGAAAATCCCAACCCGAAACCAACCCGCATAAACCCGTTTATTTAATTGGGTCGGTTTCAGGTCGGGTCAACCCGAACCCAACCCGCTTAACTTAAAACCCTAATTTTAAAATATGGGCCAAGCCCAAATTATCTAACCCTAAGCTAATTTCCTCTTTCTCTCGCCGCTTTCTTTCAGACTTTCACTCAAACTCTCTCTCTTCTCAGTTTCTCTCTCTTTTCTCTCTCTAACTCTTGAAGATTGAAATAAAAATTCTTGAACCTTGAAGATTGAAGCTTCATCTCAAACATTCTGAAGGTAATAATCCTATTATTCGATTTTTTATGAGTTTGTTTGCTCATGAGTCATTTGTTTATGCAATTTCCTTGATTTGGTTATGCAATTTTCAGATTTCTTTGATTTTTTAAGCGATTTTTTGCTATTATGGTTTATGTATGCTTTGTTTATGTGATTTAATCATTTAATGTTGTTCGTTTGTTATTTTCTTACTCTGCAATTTCTTTCGAAGATTTGATTTGTTATTTACTTATTTTGCGATTATTTGCGATTTGTTTATGCGATTTTTTGCCCTGATTTGATTTTCTCACTCTGCAATTTCATGAGTTTGATTCTTTATGTCATGACTCATGAGTTTATACTTCTGTTTTTCATGTTTATACTTCGGATATGAGTGTAATTCTTTTTTTAATTTATTCACAGATGGCTAATAGCCCTAATCCTGATGAACCCATTGATCTTCCAGATTCTGATTCAGATGATGAAGTTTCTGATTCTCATCAAACGAAATCAAAGAAGAAAACCTCTAATGTCACCTCGCTGAATAAGCCTGGAATTCATTTCAAGCGCCAACGAAACTGTTATTTTGGACATGTATTTGGTTTTCTAGTTGAACTTTTATTTGCCTACTTGGAAGTATTTTGGACATGTAACTCTTGAATTATGTTGTTAAGTTATGTTTGCTTGAATTATGTGTTGAATTTGAAGTCTTGAATACTTGAATCTTACAGGTTAAAGAAATTAGTCAAATTACAGGTTAAAAAAAATTATAGTATAAAGAAATTAGTAAATTACAGGTTTTTATTTTATTTTTTTTTAATTAAAAAAAAATCAGATTTAGGCGGGTCGGGTTCAGGTCGACCCGTTTATAATCAGGTCGGGTTCAGGTTGGTTATTTTGACCTGTTTAAGTAAACAGGTCGGGTTCAGGTTGGGGGGTCCTGACCCGTTTATGTAAACAGGTCGACCTGAACCCGACCCGACCCGACCTGTTTGCCAGCCCTACTTTTGGGTACTGAGTTAAGAATTCAGGCCAAAAAAAATTAAATCAACCAAAGAATTGAGTATCTTGGGTTAAAGAATTTAGTACCCTTGGTTAAGTATGTGGGCCCCACCTGATTAAAAAATTAATATTTATATAAAAAAATGTATTAAATTAGACTAAGAAACTAGCCGTTGGTTTCTCTATTTAAAGAGGCATGAACCTAGCAGAAAATGCATCAAAAACAGCAAGAAAATTCATCAAAAAATTTTCTTAGTGTAAACCTGCAGGCATTCGATTAAAAGAAACAGATGGGCAGTCCTCCATCCACAGCTGCTCCTCAATCAAATTGAGGGAAAGTTTTGCTTAGAATATCATCCACAGCTACCTTATTACAAGTTCTAGACTGAAAAGAAAAGCAACAAACATCAAACAAACTAGCCATGCTTAGAACATCAAACAGACAACAGCAAGTTGATTAGATGAAAGTGAAAAGAAAGATTTGATTTGATTTTGGGTATTGGATACCAAGCATTTGCCGATTTCTACTACTAATAGTAAACAGTTTTTGGTTAAGAAAGTGAAAAGAAATAAAAATCCAAATAAAAAACGATATTTACTGCAGCCAGGATTTGAACATAGAACCTTAATGTCCAATATTTAACCAGTGTTCTACTGTAACTTTTCCTACTAGTAATCAAGTATTGTTACAACAAGAAATTTACTTAAACCTAATATAGCTAGAAACAAACAAATAAAAATATCCTAATGTTTTTTCTTTTATTAGTATTTTTTTAAAAAAAAAGTTTCAGTAGTCAGTATATATGGAAATAAATGTTCTTAATACTAACCACAACAAAAGTTGCATGACAAGGGCCATAAATAATACGAGTATTGAGTAAAATGCTAGCAAACTCTTCATAGTACTAAAATATAATATATTTTTAAGCAACTTGCAAGGTTCATGTATTTCATTGATATTGATATTGATATTTTCATGAAAATTCATACGACTGTCGACATATATAGACTACATGTACACTACTATAAATATGATTGTGCATGCATGATAATTCTCATCACTACAAACTTCTACTCTATATAAACAAGCCTAGTTAGTGTGCATCCCATCTCTTAAAACATTGCTTGAATTCATCCACAATGAATGGTGAAAATCAAACAAAATTTTGCAACCTCATGACGTTTAATCTGCATAAAATCGGGTGGGGCCCATATATTTAACCAAGGGTACTAAATTCTTTAACCCAAGGTACTCAATTCTTTAGTTGATTTAATTTTTTTCACCTGAATTCTTAACTCAGTACCCAAAAGCAAAATAAAAATAATTGAGTACCTAAAAGGTGAAATTTTTAAGAATTGAGTACCTAATTGTGTGCTTAACTCTAATTATTTCAATATTATTGTCAGGATTTGTCACTAATACGAGACACAAATTCAACAAAATTTAGCATCATAAGCCAACATAGACTTAAAATCATAGCATTTAACACAATTAATTAAACTAAAAGGATGATAACACACATCATAATACTCGGAAACCTAACCAAAAATATATGGCTAATCCAAAAAATCAAGACGGTCATCACCGTTGAATTGAAAATAAGGAATTTATCGGATTTCTATAACATTATTGTTTTTAATTATTTGGTTAGCCGTCAAAAAATCAATCAAATTAACCTAAATCATGATTAGTGGTGAATCTAACATTTTATACAAGTGAGTTCAAATTAAATAAATTAAATTATAATTATTTATGTATTAAAAAATTACATGAAACTACTTATATATTATATAATAATTAATAGATTAATCATAATTTTATATTACTTTTTTTCATATTAAATAATTTAATGTTAAATAATCTGTTATTTTTTCGTCTTTCAAATATTTATAACAAGTTTTTTTTTAAAAAAATAAAGTGGGTCAATATCACATTATCTTGAACATAAATTTGTTCATAAGATCGTATTTGGTTTAAGCCCGGCGTCTGATATCAATTTCACGATTGTTTTTTTTTTTAAAATGGAATCAAAAGAGAATTTAAAATTTTTTGGAATTATCTAATTTTAGCTTTAATAATTTAAGGAATTATCTAATTTTAGCTTCAATTGTTAAGTTATGCCAAATATGTATATTAGTTATGATTTGACTGTATAAGTTATTGTTCACTAAAAAATTACTCCGTAAGAAAAAGGTGACAATTTTGAAAGCAAAAAACTACTCCGTATATGAACATAGAAAAATTCTTGATATTGTGAGAATTTTTTTTATTATTATTATTATTATTTTGTGAGAAGATAAGAATATATAAACATTAAGAAGCCCTCCTCAGAAGCAGAATTTTAATAATGAGGATATATTAGACAAAAATATAAAATACAAAGATACAATGTAGAACTTTGAAAAAAAAAAAGGATATAATGTAGAAAAGTGAAAAGTCGAGAATATAAGGTTTAAAAAAAAAACCGATGCTTCAAATAAATAAATAAATAAAAGGTAAATAACCGAAATACAAAAATACTTGGAAAAAATTAAAAGAGAAATAAAAAAAAGGACATATTAATTATTGATCAAGTGATCAATGACTTAAAATTTAGTTATGGAGACGTCGGGCCCACTCACGCAAAGATGCCCATCCTAACATTTTGCGGCTATAAAACCCCATCCTCTCCCCAAAAATATACAAGTTTATTTGCTCCCATAAAACTAAAGTCTCCTTAATAAATAAATGGCTTCATTTTACTCCGATGCCTTACTCCACAAACAACCCCTTACCACCCACTCTACCACCATCACTTGGCCTAACCGCCCGAAGATCCGTCTACGTAGACGTGGGCGGAGGCTCCCAACAGTCCAACTAGGCACAAAGAAACCTCGTCGAGGCATTTTCCTAGCGCGATTTTTAAGGCGTATACGTGTTAAATGGCTAAAGTTGCAACATTCTTGTACGTTAAAGAAGCTTAAGAAATATTATCGGTCATTAATAAAGGATTTAATTGAAGCTAGTGCATCAGCTGAAGCTTATCAACAAAGAGTTTTTATGGAAACCTCTTTTGCTGTTCCTGTTGTTGGAGTTTCTTTGTCTACCTATCATGGTGGTATGAGCAACCCCAGATCCATTTTAATGTGATCAAATATTTTTCAGATCTTTAGTATTTAATGTGAGTTATTACAGTTTTTAAAATTTTAAATTTTGTAACGGTTTGTATTGGAATTGCAAAATGTTATTATTTTAACATGTATATATTGATGTTATGATTAAACTAGTCCTATATATTACTCCATATTGTATTGGACTATCAAATGAAATTTTAATATTTGCATTGACATAGGGTAAATCGACTTATTTTTAGATCAAAATCAGTACCCCCTCCGTCCCTTAATACAATACATATTTCTCTTTATTATGTGAAAAATAAATGCTCAAAAGAGGCATTATATTAAGAGACGATAAAATTATATATTAATTTATTATGTAATAATCGAGAAAAGGCAAAGTATATATAGTTCTTTAGTTTTTTAAGCTTTCATTGATGGTCGTCCATATGCATACAATTTTGTGCTACGTAATAAAATAAAATATTTTTCAATGACAGCCTATTAATCAGTGTCATGTGTTTGGTTAGTTTTTGATGATATCTCAAGCCAATCTTTGACTATCAATAGTATTTAACTTCTATGGATTACTAATCAGAAAATGACTATGTATGAGAAAATCTTAGGAGACCACAGATATGTTTTGTTACCACTAATATATATTCAATGATGATTTCGTAATATTGCAAAACAAGGTGAAAATGAAATGTGGCAAACTAGTTTGAGCATCAAACTAATAAAAGGTCGTGTTATGCGAGAGTACGAGTATGATTGAAATTATATAATACAAGAGCATATATAATTCACATAATTAATGAATTAATGACTTCTTTTTCAAACAAAGAGGAAAATGATCAAGAAGGATCGGTTATAATAATGAAAGAAAGAAACAAATTAAAGTACATGCAACTAAATAAATTTTATTTAAGTTATTATGTACGGAGTAACATCTACTGTTATAAAGTCAAAGACGACTGTTTGCAAATAACGCATGTACTTCACCTTTAAACAAATGCATGTAACACATGGTTGTAGATATGCTACATTAGTACATTGGCTAGATCGATGCTCAACAACTCATAAAGTCATAATTAAGCATATATAAAAAAATTTGATTAATTTCTAACATATTAAATTAATGACGTCATCCACCTGCTATTAGTTGGTTGATTATTTTAATTATATAGCATGAAATTTTGTTATGCAATCAAACTCTTTTCGGACACAAATTAATTTGAGTAGACCCATTGATACTATATGTATTATCACCTACACTTTTGACATATGTATAAAATCATCACATATTCCACTATCATTATTGAAGTATATCCCTTAATTTGTTTTATTGCACTATATTATTATATTTTTTAAACATAAATAGTAGGTAGCAATATAATCAGCTTTTCTGTTTTTCATTGGAAGGCATTATTTTGCGGAAGCATCTGACCATCGTAGGTAGTGAATGGGTGCCTTTTGCGTTTCCCTGAAGAATTGCAGCTTACTGTTACAGCAATAGTTGTATGAATTAATTAGTACACTCTATTATTTCAATTCTTCATTACAATATTCCATTCAAGTTAATTGATGTTTTGAGCAATTATAGAACCGA